GTTCCTTGTCTGGCCTACAGGAGCTTTCGAAAACAGCTTGACCCCTTTCTCCTCTCTGGGGCAGCCCCTCAAATATTGGAAGACCACTGTCACGTCTCCCCTGGTCCTTCTCTTTACTAGACTAGCCAGGCCCAGTTCCTGTATATGTTTTGGTCTCCAGTCCCCTCATCCTCCTGGTTGCTCTTCTCTGCACTTTTTCTAGAGCCTCAACATCTTTTTTATAATGTGGTGAACAAAACTGGATGAAGGACTCTAGGTGTGGCCTTACTAAGGCTTTATAGAGTGTAGTATTAGTACCTCCCTTGATCTTGATTGTATCCCTCTCTTAATGCAATTTAGGATTGCGTTGGCTTTTTTGGCTGCTGCTGCACACGGCTGGCTCCTATTTAGCTGGCTGTCCACCAAGACTCCGAGATCCCTCTCACAGTTACTGCTTGATTTCACCCAGGCTATATGTGTCCTTTGGGTTTTTTTTTTTTTGCCTAAGTGTAGGCCTTTACTTTTCTCTACATTAAAATTCATTTCACCTGTTGCTACCACTTCACATTCAGTAAAAAAAAGTCCTTTTCTCTATTAACAGTGGAGCCTAAGCCTTCCTTTCTTGGATTTTGAATGGAGCCACACCTGACACCGTGAGTTTGACACCCCTGCTCTAAAAGGAGGCCAATGACCAGCTGTCTGCAAGGAGTATAAATCCTTCCCTTCCCCACTATTCTGTCAGAGCTGAAGAAGCTTCTGGGATGAGAAGTGAAACTTCTTCAAAGAAAAAACCAGAAAGTTCAGTCACCTCTTGGGGGGAAAATGCACCTTTGGGACACCATATTGTTTTCCACACCACCTGGGTCCCTGTTGCTGTGGAGTTGCTGAAATTAAGCTGGCTGGCTGCCTTCCCTCCTTAGGCTAAGCAGCTGTTTTGCCACTGAGGTCGATCCTGAATCTCCTTAACAATTTCCAGCCCTGGCAGATGGACAACCAAAGCCCAACCAAGCTTTGATCCGGGGCGAGAAAGACCAGGGGGAACAGGTCATCCTCAACTTACAACCACAAATCAGCCCTATGTTGCTAGGTGAGACGTTAAGTGGGTTTCGTGTCCCAGTTTATGGCCTTTCTTGCCCCAGTGGTTCAGCTGTTAAGATTACTGACATGGTTGTTAAGTGAATCTAGCTTCCCCATGGTCAGAAGGTTGCAAAAGGGGACCCCGGGACGCTACGGCCATCATAAATACGAGTCAGTGGCCAAGCGTCTGAATTTTGATCACGGTGGGGATGCTACACCGGTTGGAGCCGTGAGAAAAAGGGTCTTAAGTCCCCCTTTTTCCCGCCCCAGAGCCGTTGTAACTTTGAAAGGTCACTAAATGAACTGTTGTAAGTAGAGAACTACCTGTATATACATCCTAGAACAGTGGTCGCCAACCGGTGGGCCGGGGATCACCGGTGGTCCGCAAGAAAATCTTGGTGGTTCGCAGAGAAATGTCCCCCCCGAGGCAATTAATCCAGGCTGCGCGGGAACCCAAGACTGCGCCGCCCACACGGCCTGCCCACCCGCTGGCCCGCACCCTTCGGCCGAGCGCAAACCTTACCTTGAGTAGAGCCACGCAAGCTGCAACTGGAAGGTAAGACCAATGGCGGGGGAGGAAAATCCGCCCCTGGTGGCTTGCTGACGTTGGTGGGAAAGTCGGTCCCATATTTCTGACCCACAGGAGTCACAGGACTGGCCCTTTGGTCATCCCGGAGCAGCTGCTCCAGTCCGTGGCAGGCCGGTGCACGCAGGTAGAGGAGCAGCTGCTCCGGGATGACTGTGACTACTGCGGCTCTGGAATATGGGACCGACTTTCCTGCCAACGTCAGCAAGCCACCATCAGTCAAAATTCATATCAGTGGTCTGCAGGATTTAAAATTATGAGCTTGGTGGGCCCTGAGGTCCTCCTAGTTCCAGGGAGCCGGGATTTGGCCTACCTTGGTGGGTCCGTTTCCGTGAATCACAACCGGGAGGGTGTCAAACGCCAGATTCCGCACTCTCACCTGGCTGTTTTCGAATTTCAGAGCCACTTGGTCTTCGGAAGCAAAGAAGCGGAGAAACGGAATGAAACAACAACAACAACAACAACAACAAGGTTTTTTCACATGTACGCCAGGGGAAGAGAATGGTTTGGGGAAATTAATCAAGTTTGACCAGCTTGTTACGTCTGCCACTCTGCTTGCTTCGCTTCGCTTCGCTTCACAACTTGCCAGCCTGACACTGGCACCGAAGGGGGAGGGAGGAAGAATAGGGATGCGGGAGGATGAAAGGGGGGACGGTCTGGGATCCAAGCTGTGCTGGGCAAGGAAGGAGAGCTCCAGGCCATGAAAAGAATGCTGTGATGACCCAAAGGGGTGTGGCACAAAGGCAACACAGTCAGATAAGCAATAAGAGTCCCTTTAATAGCACCAACTTTGCCCCCAATGTCCAGGTTACCTTCTGGGCTAGAGATAAACTCTGCAGCCTTTGGCTGCAGAGAATCAAGTCCAAAACATGGTCAACAAAAACTGTAATTTTAAGTCCAATCAAGCCAAACTGAGGTAATTAGTTTGGCAGGGTAGGAGCAAGAATTCCAGACGTGAAGGCATGGCAATAACTCAACACAGTTGGGAAGACACCAGGAACACAGATAAGCAAAGTCATCACAAGAAAAAGTCACGTTTGCTCCCAGCAGCTGCCGCACTCAACATGCATCTCTTTTAAACTCTCATTCCCAGGTGTGCCTAATGAAGGGAATCAGGGCCCTTTCCTTCCCTGTAAGCCACGCAACCCAAGTTGCTCCCTTCTCCGTTCCTCCCTGCGTGCCCTAGGATGAAGAGGTAGGGTGGGCCTGGGTCTTCCTCTGAACTCCCTCTCCCTTGTTCTACCTCTTCCCTGCTCTGCCCAGCCGGACTTTGCCCTTGTCCAGTTTCCTCCACAGCCAATGGAGCCACACTCCCACTCCTTGTCAGCTGTTCGTTTTCCTCCTCAGATTCAGACTCTGACAGGGGCATGACAAATGCAGAGATGGAGAAGACACACCGAATCTCCGTTCCCAAAACAAAATAAGCATTGCTAATGAGACACTGATCGATAATTAAGTGGGGGTGGCCGCGGGGAAAAAGAATAGTTAAGGGTAAAGTTTTCATGCCAATTTGCCAGACTCTGCTTCCCTTTGTCGCTAACCATTTATTGCTCTAGTAAAGTATGCTCTTGGTGAAATCTCAGGCCAGGAGTCTCCTTTTGCCAGCTGGCTAAGCGGGATGGATGCCATTCAAGCTTTTCAAAGTAGCCGTGTCCTTAGAAAACTTCCAAGCCAAGCCAAGATATAGCCTTTCCCACCCAATATAATAGAACAGGGGTGTCAAACTCAGGGCCTGCAGGTCAGATCCGGCCTGTGATGTGGTCGGATCTGGCTCATGGAGCCGTCCCGGTCTACTCGAATCTACCCGTGTTGCTTCGGCCCATTTTGCGAAGAGGAAACATCGGGCCAGCGTGGCTTCGGTCCGGTCTACCCAATGGAAAGAGGAAACATGCCAGCAGTTTGGGAAGTGGCGTGAAGCTGCCCATGCCCACCCAGCTGGCTACACCCACCCCCTACCCCCGAGGTCAACCATGTCAGGATTCCAGCAATCGCTCTAATTGAATCATGATTCTCGAGCCAAACTTCGAAAAACTTTCAAAGGATTCATTAGAGGCGACATACTGGCACTGCCCTGCATGAAGCCAACTCTGGCCTAGGTCATTTACAGTCCTCTGTGACCCTGTTTCCCCCCCTCCCACCTGGGTGTGTCATAAACCAGATTCTCCAATTGAGCACCTTCACAGGCTGGGTGTCATCAATCACATTCTCCATTTAAATATATTCCCGGGCAAAAGCTCTGGTAGTTTAGTTACAATCTTTTAAAGAGAAGAGTTGGAATGTACGTCCACTTCCAAACTGCTGCACTGCTCTTCCAGATTTCCTTCCTCTCCCCCTCCCTTTTTTTTTAATGGCAACTACTAAAACAGGCATAGGAATGTTTTATGAGGTTGACAAACCACAGCCTCAATGAAATTGAGTTTGACACCCCCTGCAATAGAAGTATATTTTAGGAGCAACCCACCCAGTTTTATCTTTTTTAAAAAAGTCTCTTAAAGACCTTAATTAAATCTTAATAAAATAAACCGACAGGAAGGGGAGGCGAGACTAAGGAAGCGAGAGAGAGTCATCCCAAATCTTCCATTAATTGAATGAAAAACTGCTGGTAATTTTCTATGGCTGCGCCGTAGAGGGTATCTTAACTGACTGCACACCTCTGCATGGTTTGCCAATTGCACAGTGGCAGATAGGAAAGCACTCCAGAGGGCGAACATCATTGCCCAGAGGACCATGGGTTGCCCTCTCCCCTCTTTGGAAGAGCTTTATAGCTCCCACTGCCTTAAGGATGCCTAAAACATCCTCAAAGATCCATCTCATCCTGGGCACCCTTTTTCTTTTTTGGAACTATGACCATCTGGCAGACGGTACAGAATAATAAAAACAAGGACAAATAGGCTGAAAAACAGCTTCTATCCCAGGGCAGGAGCTCTGTTGAATTCGATAGTACACAGATGGTATGTAATTTTGTTGTACGATGTGCAATGACAATAAAGTAAACTCAATTGTAAAACAAGGTCGCAGCTGCTGCCTGAGCTCTGTTTTTACACGGAAGTTGTTTAGTTTGACTCCAACCAGAGTTGCTTGGCAAACCGCACAAGTGATTGTGGCAGAGGTCAACGGCCTTGGGGACCTACCCAGAGACGCCCTGTGCAGCTGGTTTATAGCTCTCCAGCAAGAGGAGGATAACCACCCTTAAAGACAGCCAACATTTTATTTTGGATGCAGGATTTTCTTTCCGTGGATTCTCACCTAAAGCACCGTTAAGGTTTTGGAAGATCCGGCACCTATGATCCAAAGTGATATTGATGGCCTTCTGCAGAGGAGGAAGAAGAAGAAGAAAAAGAAAAAAAAAAACACCAGCAAGCGTGATAAGAGCTGGAAGAGGTAAATATAAGATGGCTGTGTTGCACCTTCTCTGACTCACACCTTTTATGAAAAGGCAGAACCCGTGATGAACCAAAGGGGCGTGGCAGAAAGGCAACACAGTCAAATAAGCAATAAGAATCCCTCTATTACCTCCAACTTTGCCCCCAATGTCCAGGTTACCTTCAGCTGGAGAAAAACTCTCCCAGGAACAGCCTTTGACTGTAGAAAAGTCAGCCAGGAAACTAGGCCAAAGTCTGTTCTGGTCTGATTTATACCACATGGGCCTACCAGGCTTTGCACATCTGCATTTCTTGGGTCAGCTATCAAGATCCTCCCCCCACGGAACAGCTGGGGCTCTGCGTTCAGGGCTCACCCGCTTTTCAGCGTCCAGGAACACGTTGGTATAAAACAGCTGGTCGCTCTCACCGTCCAGGCCTTGCCAGTCGGCCACCAGCTGACTGAGATACGGAGCGTAGCCTATGAATCCTGCAGGAGGAGACAATACAGGCAGTTTCGACTCACGGCCACAATTTCCATCGCTATGCGAGACAGGTTTGTTAAATGAATCGCTGCAGTTGTTCGGTTAGGCCGCCAGCCCCTCCAACAGCCGAATTAGAGGAGGAGGAGGAAGTGTGGGAGTCAAGGCCAGCTAAGATCCCCCGAGGGGGAAGAGGGAATGGAGCTGGCAAAGAGAGAGAGAGAGAGAGAGAGACAGAGGTGGAGACTGGGCCGTCCGTCACCCCTCAGATGGAGAGTCAACAGCTCCCAGGTCTGGGGGTGGCTGATGAGGAAGAGGAGGAACAGCCGGGTCCAGTGCCTGATGCACAGATGCGCAGAAGGCAGAGGAGAGGAGAGCAGTGGAAATCTATGGGCCGGTCCTTGGGACAGAAGAGCCATCACTACTAGCAAAGCCCCACCCTTGCTCTGGGGATAAAAGGCTGGGTGTGGCAGACGACTATTCATCTCCCTGCCGGACAAAACGACTTGTTCGCCTGCGTGAGAGAAAAAGACTTTTTGCCGGGGCTCTGGCCCTCCTCGTAAAAGAAGCACCGGTTTAACTTCAGAGGGTTTGTCGAATTTGGGGAGCTGGGTCAGAACAGCGGCTTCCCCATCGACTTTGCTGGTCCGAAGGCCGATCCCGTAAACCCCGGGACGCTGCAACGGTCATAAATATCAACTGGTTGCTAAGCGTTTGAATTTTGATCCTGTGGTCACAGGGACGCTGCAACAGTCGTAAGTCACAACGGTCGTAAGTCCCCCTTTCGGTGCTGTTGTTAACTTGAAACTGTCGTTAAGCCGAGGTTTGCCTGAAAACGCTCCCCTCTCTCTCTTTCTTCAGTTCAAATGGGCACCTTAGCCCATGGATGGGTGCTGACATCCCCCCCAAAAAAACGTTTTTTTTTTTTCTCTTTGCTCCTCCTGGGGGCTTCCATCTTCCCCCCTTTTCCTTACCTCCAGATCCCAGGAATCTCTGCCCTTCCTGGACCGCCGGGTACTTGGCCTCTAGCCTCCGGTCTGGATAGATGAGCGCCTCTGAGGAGAAGACGACTTTCGACTTGGCCTGCTTGAACTTCTTCAGGACTTCCGCGGGCCCCGAAGCAAAGACGACGTCGTAGCTGCAAGAGGAGGAGGAGGAGGAGAGATATTTGAAGGGAAGTGTGATGACCCAAAGGGGTGTGGCACAAAGGCAACACAGTCACATAAGTAAGAAGAGTCCCTTTAATACCTCCAACTTTGCCCCCAATGTCCAGGTTACCTTCGACTGGAGAAAAACTCTCCCAGGAACAGTCTTTAAGTGGAGGAAATTCAGTCCGAAAACAAAGTACATACAAACTGTAACTAAAAATCCACACAAACCACGCCGCAGTAATTAACTTGACAGGGCAGGACAGAAGGAATTGCAGACTTGAAAGCACAGCAAAACACACACACACAGTTGGGAAGATGCCAGGAACCCAGATAAGCCTCGATGATACCAGATAAATCCATGATTTGCTTCCAACGTTGCTGTGCGCAGCTTCCCTTTTTAAACACCGTGTTCCCCGCTGCAGCTAATGAAGGGAATCAGGGCCCTTCCCTCCCCCGTCAGCCATGCAACTCACGTTGCTCCCTTCTCCATTCCTCCCTGCATGCAGGATGAAGAGGGGGTGGGCCTGGATCTTCCTTTGAACTCCCTCTCCCTTCTTCTATCTCTCCCCTGCTCTGCCCAGCCTGACTTTGCCCTTCCCCAGTTTCTTCCACAGCCTACTCCCACTCCTTGTCAACTGCTTGGCCTCCCCCTCTGAATCAGATTCCGACAGGGGCATGACAGGAAGTTTATCCCGCAAAGAAAAAAACAGGGAATAATCCAAAAAAATGCCTGAGTCGGAGCAAATGAAACCTCTCAATTTATTTTTTACATTCCAAGTGTTGTTGTTTCTCTCCAAGATGGAGATTCTGATGTTGTCAGCTGCCCTACCCTCATTTAAATGAACTTCAATTGTCCACAGTTTGCAACGCAGTTAACACAACAAACCATAGTTAAGCAGCAACCAAAATACAGGTTTTCCTCAACTTAACAACCATTTGTTTAGCGATCGTTCAAGGTTACGATGGCACTGAAAAAAGCGACTTATGACCATGTTTCATACTTACGACCTTCATAGCATCCCCGTGATTCAAATTCAGATACTTGGCCACTGGTTCAGACTTATGACCGTGTCCCAAGGTCATGCGATTCCCTTTTTGTGACCTTCCAATGAGCAAACTCCACGGGGAAGCCAGATTCATTTAACAGCTGCATCCCTAACTTATCAACTGTGGTGATTCGCTTAACAACAGTGGCGGAAAAGGTCGTAAAACGGGCCAAACCTCACTTTAACAAATGTCTCCCTTAACAAACAGATACTTTGGGGCTCAGTTGGGGTCATAAGTAGAGGACTATCCGTATCCAGCTCCTCCTGGTTACAGGAGGCACAGAGAATCTTCCAGCTCAGGGGTCGTCAACCTTTTGAACCTCAGGGACCACCAAACTCATCATTCTAAATCCCACGGACCAGAGACCCTGGGAAAATCCCCCAAAAAGTCTGCAGGAAAATTCCCCACCCTGTTTTCCTACTGATCGATCGTTCTTTATTTGGGATCGCAGGATACCGTCTCCAGCTCCGTTCTCAGGGGGAGAGAAAGAAAGACTTTTGCTGCTTTCCTTGCGTGCAGCCAAAAGCAGAAGAAGAGAGAAGCGGAAAGAAGCAGCCCGGTGGCCAGGCCAGGTGTGTGAGGTGAGTGGGGCAAGTTCCCCCCCTCCACCCTTTCCCCCCTCCCCTCACTACCTCGTCTTGTTCGCAATGCAAGTGACACAAGCCTTGTGTTCCCACGGGCCATGTGGGCGGTGCAGCCTTGTGTTCCCCCCGCAGCCTGGATTAATTGCTTTGGGGGGGTGACATTTCTCTGCGGTCCACCAAAATTTTCTCATGGATCACCAGTGGCCCCAGCCCACTGGTTGGCGACCACGGTCCCAGCTCAAGCAGGAATTACCTCTCGGTGAAAAGGATCACTAAATCTTCTTTATCTGCATAGGCTTCCAAAGCCGATTTCAAATGTCGGATCTTCTGTCCACCTACTATTCTCTGGTCCTCTCGGCCATGCCATTCTTCGCCGAGCCCCAGGACCTGGACGGATCAAAGGAGATTTTGGGACAAGTTTCAAACCACTTTGTTCGTGCTTCGTTCCCTCTAAAACTGAACTGAAGGGAACAAGTAACAATATCTTATTTAGCAAATGACTTTCACTGTGCTGGACGATTTTTTTTTTTTTTTTTTGCAGACATTTACAATCTGAACGATAAGATTCCCAAATTATTATATTACCCGCTTCATAAGTTTGTGCTTTGGGGGTTCAATAAAGAAAAATAACTAGCAACTAACAGCTGTAGAAACAGCTAACATTATTACAAACTCATTAATTGAAACTAGCTGGATACCCGTGCTTCGCTACGAAACTATGTGGTTGGGCTTAGTTTTTGGGGAGGAAAATAAGGGGGGAAAATTGTGCCTCTGCCTACCAGCATCCCTCAGTATTCATCTGGCTAGCATCCTGTCAGTGTGCGAGAGAGTTGAGGGCTGTTTGGAAAGTGAAAGAGTATTTGCTGTGTGAGCAAGGAGACAGCAAGGAGCCTTAGCTCAACCGTTCTGTACTACAGCTGCTTGGTGCTGTGAAAGTAAAACAAACTGAAACTCCTCTGCTTGTTTTTTGCATTTGGAACAGGTTTCTTTTCAGGTGGGGAGGGGGAGTAGAACTCCTTAGCATCAGAGCGTATTAATAATAATAATATAGGAAATACTAATGCTCTGATAGTCATTTCAAAAAATCCTTTCTTAGTGACCACCTAGAAGCCAAGAGGAAGATACGCGTCAAATTTCAAGTTTGTAGGCTTTACGGTTCTGGAGATTTTGTGATGATGCGTGGAGTGGTATTTTGCTTTTATTTATATATATATATAGAGAGAGAGAGAGATTAAGAAATTATGCAGTATAATTTTCTCCCATACTTTTTCAAGGGCGAGTTTTAAAATTTGAACAAATGCAGGGAGTTTTGAATTAGGAATTGGATTTTGTCTCGAAACAACCAGGAACCTATGTTCAAATTAGTTATTTGCACTACCTTGAGATTGTAGTTAAAAACCTGGGCTGAATGTCTGAAACGCTTGAAACCTTCAGTCTCCTTGGTAGCCACAGTGAAGACCAATAAATTATCTAGATGGACAGAAAAAAAGAATCAATATAATTTTCCCAAATTATCAGCAATCGATACAAATTCCTGCATTCCCCCATTGCTGCGACTTTTTAAAACAAAAAACAAAAAAAAATTGCATTCTCAAGAGGCACAACTCAGTTGTAAAAATCCAGGCTGTGAATATGGAAAGATTCTCAGATTTATTTCGTAGACTTTCCCCATTTCTTTAAAAGCCTCCTATTTGTGAAGCGGGAAAGAGAGTCTGGGGGGGGAAAAACTCGCCTCTTTTTTTAAAATGAACAAATAGCTCAGCCTTCAAACAATATTTCCACCCCCCCCCCGCTAAATATTGATTTTTTTTCCAAGACGTGTGGGACGTGAGTTTTAATGAGTCAGAAATGGGTTTCTCCAGACTCTTTCTCTCCCAGCCTGTTCGCACGTCACAAAACGGGCCTGGAGTTGACCAGCAAGGATAAGCAAAACAGCTGAAATGTAATTTATAACGATAACCCCTCTCGGGTTTCTGCTGGCATTGGTGGGCAAAACGGCAGGCTGAAAACCTTTTGAAAACATGGGAGGCAGCCTTCATTTATGAAAGCTAGCTCAGATGCCTTCAGGCCTGTGTGAAACACATACACACACACACAACTTCCTGCAGACCCCACATCAAAAGCATGCCGGAAGGGCAATTTTTAGCCCTGATGGAGAAGGGAAAGATTTTATCCTGATTTATATCCAGAGAAGATCGCTTGATGCTTGCAGAAGATCCCCTCCCACGCTCTGAGGATCGAGGCGATTTCATTTGCCATTCGCCGCAATTTAGCAACACAGATTTGAGCCCAAACATCGGAGGAGTAATCTGGACCTCACGGAAGCTGACACTTTGGAATAAAATCTGTTTGTCTGAAAAAGAGTCTCCTCCTGATTTCTTGCTGCCACAGACTTAAAGACAGATGCCCCATCTGCCAAACCAAGCAAGAATGTGCAACTTAGGATAGTAAAAAAAGAACAAAAAAACTTTTTTTGAGAGAGAGAAAAGGGGAAAAAATGCAAAAAGGGAGATTTTTTAAAAAGAAAACACATACGATGGTGTTGTGCCAAGTGAGCAAATAAAATATTTCTGACGATCAGAGACCAGCCTAAGTGAAATTGGACAAGTATAAATTGGGCGTGCATAAGGGCACCAGCGTGCCTACCGTCCCTGTCTTATATCTGTATTTACTTCCTTTCTTCATGTTTATGTTCATACTTGTTACCTTGTACGTGTTTGACAAACAAATAAAATAAAATAAGTAAGGCATACTGTTTCTCATCCTTTCCCCTTCCCCAGGGGAAAAAAAAGGTCCCTTGGAAGTTTTTGGAGAAAGAAAACTTCCAAAAGTTTTCCCTAAACTTTTCAACCATCCCTGTCTGCCAGGGATAGGGATGGCTGCAGAGAGCGCACTGCAAGAAACTTGGGTGTGCACAAACACACACACACACACACACACATTCCTTAGCTTACCGTCTTCTGCTGTGTGGCTCCCACCCTCCAGGGGTGTCAGGAAAAGTAGAAGGAGCAACAGGCGTGAAGGGGACATCATGGGGAGACGTCAAGGAAGGGATCCCACTTTGGGAAGGGGGGGGAAGGCTGAAGGCTTTGCTTAGGAAGGAAGCCCCTCCTCGCCAGCCGGGGGGGGGGGGGGCTGATGTGCCACGCAATGAACACGCCTCCCCCCGCCCCACAAGTGTGGGGTGGAAGGGAGGGAGGGAGGCAGGCCTCCTCCTCCTTCTCCCTCTGCTCCTCTCTTCCGTCCGGCCCATCTTGGGTCTCCCCCTTCCGCTCCTCCTCCTCCTCCTCCTCCTCTATTGGGTCAAGATCCGAAGCCTGCCGTCCACCCCCTGCAGAAAGGAAGAATTAGCACAGGATGCCACAACTGAAGGCAGGACGCACCTAAGGATGCCCACTTTTTCCTTGCCCAAGAGCCGCCCCGGCTCTATTTATTTATTTTTATTTATTTTGATTTGTCAAATCGCTTACGAGATAATAGGCATTAAGTGTAAAACATGAGTTAAGAATACAGGACATAGGTACGAATGAACGGGGACATTAGGACAGGGACGGGAGGCACGATGGGGCATTTATGCACCCCCCCTCAATCTCACAGCCCCCCCAGAACCCCAATCCAGCACCAACTCCTGTTTTTTCTAGGGTTTTGGAGCCCAGGTTTTCCCAGGCTGTCTGCCCAGCCTGATGGGAACTGGAGTCCCAAAGGAAGCGTTGGGAAAGCAGGGAGGTTGAAATCAGCCGGGGTTTTCTCCCCTGCCTTTTTGCAACCGGTGTGTTGTAGGGGTTCAGGGAGCTGCTGGTGATAAAGAGCCTTCTACATAAGCTCAGAGGCCCTTTGCCTTCAAGGAAAGCCCCAGGAGCTCTCTGCAGAGGTCTTTTGCTGCCAAGACAGGGCGTTCTGCACAGGCTCAGAGACCCTGTGCCTAGACGGAGCCCTTAAGAGAAACCCTCCACACAAGCTCAGAGCCC